AAGCCAGTGAGAAGCGAAATAATTGCATATCCTAACATGTTGCCTACGATGATGACCCTAGAATTCCATCTCCTCATTGCCCTTTCCGTCAGTTGGGTAACGAACATGAATACAAAGCCTGCAAATATACTCGTCCCAACAAAACCATAAACCTTCCCTGGCACATTCCTTTTGGTGAAAGCATCGGCTAGGAATCCGTACCGAATAGAGACACATACACTGTTAGCATGGGCATAGAAGATGAGAGCAAAAATGGTCAGCCACTTTTTTGTTACAGCTGATATCTTCAGGTTCATTTCGTAGCACTTCTGATAGTCTGACAAAATTAATGTTACAAATTATATATATGATATTATAACACACATAACCCCGGCATGCGCAGGGATTATATTTCAATTTTTCCCGCGACGCGCGGGAAAAGTTTATAATAATTTCGAGTGCGAAGCACGAGGGATTATTATGAAAATAACCCCGACGTGCTTTAGCACGAGGGGTTATTTTAATATAACTTAAGCGTGCCGGTGTTATGTGTTATAAACCCCTCCGGGTTAGTGCTAGGACCAACAAATTTGACATTTTACTCTTAAATATAGCTATATGATTATGAGATCATTATGGAAAATATGAAATGGAATTGGGGACTACCAAATAAATACAACTAAGGTACTATGACTTTTGAAATTGGCGTTATATCTAAACATTATTCCTCAGTCAGAACGTTGAATGAATATGAATATCGATAAGGGGCGTCGAGTTAAGCCTGGCAAGCGATAAAAGCTAATAATGATATCGTGTCATGAAGTTTATCAAAGTAGACGACTATAATACATGGCTTATATCAAACACGACAAAATTAACCGAACCGGACAAAATCAAATGTAACCGTCGAGACAAGTTTTGGAACTGGTCCAATTAATGTAAGAGTTTAAGTAATGTAAGCAGTGTGCTGGAGTTTTGCCAGCGCCTGCAATTAGACCGATACGTAGATCGAGTGTATTTATAGTTCTTACGTTAAGCCATAGGTCACGTGACATTTTTTACCAATGCGCGTCGTAGTAGTTAGTCACGTGATACACGTCATCAAAACACGTGACAGTACGCGGTTGAAATTCTCATCGAATGTCAAAACAAAACAAATCTTGTTGAGCCAAATTAGCGGGGCGGGATTATAAAAGCTGTGCCGGGGTTATTTATTCAGCGGGAAAAAACTAACAGCGGGAGCCGGGATTATCAGAATCTATTTAGCGGGAGCCGGGATTATCAGAATCTTATTCTATCCCGGAGGGGTTTATAATGGTTTAATGTAATGTAGTCCTAAATAATACTTGTTTAAGCCATGAAGTTGAGCTGATTGATAAAGTCTTTTAAATTACACAAAACGTCAACAATGTGACGTAAAAGCAACAACAACTACGTTCATTAGAGGGTGCAGCCTATTGTACAATGGAAAGAGGATTACAAATAATTACACCAAAATTTCAGACTGGCTATCATCATTATTTGCTATATTACGCAGTAAATCAAGATCAGCTGCTCACTGTTCAGCATCGCAGCTAGAAATGATCTGATTGGTTCTTTCAAACACTATCTAATCCCATCCCGGCCTACCATGCTTATTTAACCATTAAAATTAATACTCAGCCAACTATTTCTGAAATCAACCACCACTGTCTAACTTAATCAAGGCTGATAACAATACAATCACACTTACGGTCATGATCTTTATATCAAACCAATGACCCAGAACAGCATTCAATCACTATTATTATTATGCCAGTATGACAGACAATTATAACATACTATTACTTGGACATATGACATTCTATGACACGCGCGACACAAAATTTTCAGGGAGGAAGTCACGCAGATACAGCACTACAATTTGTATACGGTTGGGCGACAATTGACCCCCCGACAATTGACCCCCGATAATTGACCCCCCGAAAATATAACTTAATACAATTAACCCTGACCCTGACCCTGACCCTGACCCTGACCCTGACCCTGACCCTGACCCTGACCCTGACCCTGACCCTGACCCTGACCCTGACCCTGACCCTGACCCTGACCCTGACCCTGACCCTGACCCTGACCCTGACCCTGACCCTGACGCAGGACCCTGACCCTGATCCTGACCCAGGACCCAGTACCCAGGGCTTTTCTAGTTCTATAAAAACTACATTTTATAAATAAGTACATATTATAAGTTCTTAACTAAGTGTTAATTATTAAATATTATCAATATTATAACTAATCAAATAGATCCACCGATCAAATCTATTTAATGTGCCACTTGTAAAACACGTTTAACAAAGAATTATCCATTACTTTGTTGTGCAACATGCAAAGCAATTAAGCATTATAAATACGAATCGTTATCAAAGTCTGGAACTAGAGCTCTAAGCTATAAGAGCGAATCCTTCCTGGTCATGCAAAAGCTGTAAAAACAGTAGTACTAGCAACGATCCACACTCGAATATTGATGAACTGTAAACAATAGTGGTACAGGCTCCCAGCATTTGAACACCAATCAAAAGGCAATGACGAGGAAAGCTGGCAAACCTGTTTAGTGTTTACTGAATAATATTCCAGGTTTAAGGAAATCTCAACGGTCACAACATAACACACCTCACAACATGACTTAGTATTAGTAAACTATCTAAACAAATCACCACCATCAGCACGTAGATACCTCGCTTATACCCTTCCGAAATACGCTGAACAAACATTTTAGCTACGAAAGCACTTTCAATAATAATAATTACCGGCTACATTAGAAATCAGAAAATGTTCACTGCCATACCAGCTACTCGTCTACTGATAATAATCCTGGCCATCGCTCCATAAAAGCATTATTGGCTGCACCCCTGACTTTTTAAAACTAGAGATAAGAGACGTATTAGAATATTTGTGTTTTGATAGAATTTTAAGTTTGGTGTGTGAATTAGTGTGGAAATAAAAGAGACATTTATTATATTATTTTACCTATGAAGGAGAACTAATTCATCATATTATACTCAGCACCACGGCAATTACACCTCAGCACCTGTACAGTTCAGCAACAGTTTAGCCAAGTTCCTATCATCTAATTATATTTTACTGAACAACTTAAATTATTTATAACATTATCGTCCCCTCTCCCAAGATTTTTCACGTGCCTGCAACACCTGATTAAAAAAAACCTCCTGTTTTTCCTTTTCTAGACCAACATAAGTCACGATCCTCTTACCCCTTTTACTTATTGTACTCCCTCTTTCAAAATCTTCAAGCTACTCTACTCTGTACTCATAAAACACATTAGCTCATAACTTCCAGCATTAGAAATTACCACACAGGACAACATGCGGGAAATATCTGCAAATTATCAGCTCTCAGTGTCCAAGAGTTTTAGTGCATATAATTCCCGGAAAATATTATAACTTAAAGAGATAAAGTGACTGAAGTGGCTCAATTTCAAATTGTTAATCATTTGCCAAGATTCACCCTCTTTTCTTCTTTTGTTTAAGATAGTTGGTTTCCTATAGCATTAATTATGCCATGATACTATCCGTTTGGGCGCTTGTAAGCCTATTTTTAGTGTTTCACTTGTATGATATAATATAAAAATAATGACCTTTATTAAAACCCAGCATCGAAAAATTTGAAAAAAAAGCCACAGACTCATGTTCATAAGTTCATTTATTCTAATCGTGCATTTTTCTACCGTACAGAAAGGTTTCATGAACAGCTTTTAATGAACAGGTTTTTGTAGGCGTTCCTGGGACATTATCATATCTTCTTAATATGATTATAACGTACGAACAGAGTGATATTATCTGGATTCTAGAGTACGCACTACGTCCTGGACTCCAGTTCGACACGTACCGAAAACAGGTTTTGTATGTGTTCCTGGGACATCATCATCATATATCTTCTTGTTGATGGCTCATAATAAGATTATAACACACGAACAGAATGATATTATCTGGATTCTAGAGTACGCACTTCCTGGACTCCAGTTCGACATGTACCGAAGTTCGACAGCCCGGGTGATTTCTGGCGAAATTTATCTGTCGAACTACCTTAAGAACGACAAATTTAGTCTACCATAAATTTAGTCAAACTTTTGACTAAAATTGTCGTAACCCAAATTTCATGAGACTAAATTTTTCGGCGACTAATTTTAAAGCAGACCAAAATTTCAGTAGAGCAAATATGACATGAATATTATTAAGCTAACATTGTTTATTATTAATATATTATGACATCACCGTTCCTACTGCACAAAACCGTACCAAAGTCCTATTGCACTTAAAGGGTTAGAGCTCCTCTTGGACATTACATTTTTAATCGATCCATCTCAATACATGCTCTGTTGAAACGGCTGAAGGATCATATGGACGTAAACTACGTCGTACCGACAAAATGGTAAAGTCTTAAAGTCGAAAAAGGGTGAAAAAGAAACTGAACAGTGTACTGAAGAATTTAGTGATACAGAGTCACAAACTCTGGATCTTACTTATTGAAATTCCTGAGTAATGCAATGCAGCTTAATCTGTAATGCTCAGACGAGTAGACTAAATTTGTCGTTCTTAAGGTGAATAGAATGGAAAATGGTCTCGAAAAGTCGAAAAATGTGACTAAAATTGTTGTAGACTAAAAATTTGCGAAATTTGTGACTAAATTTATGGTAACCAAAATTATGGTAACCAAATTTATTGTGAACCAAATTTATTGGCCCTAAAGCTAAGGTACATCGAGAAACTTAACGGAGGTCCCAATGTGAGCGGGATGGTTGTCAGGTACAGGATTATTAGTGTATCATTGATGGACAGGTTTTGTGTGAGTTTCTGGGACAACATCATTATATTGATTAGGCCGGAGTTAGATTTACAGATTTAATCGTATTCATTTAAAGTAAATAAATGTGCTTATCATTATAGAGTCATACACTTCAATAGATTGCGCTATGCATCAATTTAATTAAATTCGACGTTAACCCTTTTTATCAAATTAGCTGCAATGATACGGTTAGCAAGACTAGTCAGCCCGAGTCTACACAGTTGTACAGCTCTCTCTAGACTCCAGAATAGTTCCCCTGCTGTTGAACCCACCCTCAGCTACTGCATAAGGCACGCTTCTGAAGATGTTGGGGACGATCATGGTTCTGAAGATGTTGTGGACGATTATAATTCCGAGTATATCTCTCTTTTACCTGAAGGCACTAACAGAAAATTATTCAATAAAAGCCCGGCTGATAGAATGCAAAAACAACGGTTCTTAGATCTCAAGAAAGATATTATTCAGTAAGTGATTCTTCGAAACTTATAATTCTTTAACTTCACTTCAATTTATAGTAATCAATTGGGAAAGGAACTCTTAAGAATCTAATTATAGATCATTCGTGTAGTGCATTAATAGACATAGTTTTCCTGCATTCATAAAGCTTTTTAAGGGCAAAAATATTCCAGGACTTTAAAATATTATGTTAAATATGTTCATGATATTAATTACCGTGAGCAGTCAATAATCTCATGTCTCCACCGCTCATTAGGTACCTTAAGATACTTTACTTAGTTTCAACTTTATTGACAGGTTATCGAGAACAGCTGATGATCCAGAGAAGATAACGTTTAGGTTTCAGCAGTATATCCTAGAGAATCCGACGTCTCACTACATCTCCCTGCAGTGCATTCAACAAATGTCTATTGCTTTTGCTGCAAAAGTTGGTAGTTATTAGCCTTTTTTAATTTCGCAAAAGCTATCATGGAAAGTTCATTTAATATATTGTATAGGTTGATGAGTTTTTTTGTAAACAATTTGTTAAATGATTATCTGATGCAATTTGTGTGATTATATCGAATCCCATCTTTGTAAATAACATTAACTATTTTTTTTTCTTAGGGCGATATTGAGAGATGTAGTGAATTGTTGGATCTGACAAAGAAGCTCCTAAAACATAAGAAATTGAACCCTATTCTGGACATGAACCATGCCAGGATTGTATCTAATTATCTCTTCTCCTTTATGAACTGTCCTGATAGGGAGCGTGGGAAGAAGGTTTGTAAGATTATTAATTGAATCATAATTATTTAATTGATATATAATCATTCAACTTTTAAAATAAACTGTCAATCGATTTATTGATTTACTGATTTATTGATTTATTGATTTATTGATTTATTGATTTATTGATTTATTGATTTATTGATTTATTGATTTATTGATTTATTGATTTATTGATTTATTGATTTATTGATTTATTGATTTATTGATTTATTGATTTATTGATTTATTTATTTATTTATTTATTTATTTATTTATTTATTTATTTATTTATTTATTTATTTATTTATTTATTTATTTATTTATTTATTTATTTATTTATTTGTTTATTTATTTATTTATTTGTTTATTTATTTATTTATTTATTTATTTATTTATTTATTTATTTATTTATTTATTTATTTATTTATTTATTTATTTATTTATTTATTTACAGTGTATCTACTTATATTTTCCCACATGGCACATTTTCCTGTCAACAGTAAAGAGACACCAATGACACTATTACAGGATGCATTAGAGTTCTTCGAGAAAGTAAAAGAACATCAACAGTCCCAACACCCGGTTATAGTTGAAGGTCTCTCTAAAGTCCTTATGAGCTTTGGGATGGTTGACAAGGTGATTGTTTTATGAGGCAACTGTTTATCTAAATAAAATAACGGTGGTAATCTAAAAAGTGGACTATATTATCATTAGTATCTGAAAAGCATAGCGATCCCAATTTACAGTTATCTTACGATAAGCTAACATTAAATATAATTAGTTCTTTTTCCTAACTACTGAACTTTAGCTCACAAGTCACATGTCCCAGATGAAGGAACTGTTGAAACTAGCGCCCTCTTCGGAAATCCAGTCCCCCTCCGGAGTGTTGCAACTGGCAGACTCTCTAATACACCAGGACAGACACCAGGACGCTACTCTGCTGCTGGAGACACATTCTGACTTTGTGGATTTGAGTAATCTCAACGCTGACCATTACGCTTTACTGGCAAGTTTCATACGTTTATATTGCAGTTTTTATGATTATATTTCATATTTGTTTCCCAGATCAAGATTTATACTGTCTTCACAATTAATATCACTGTAGCTTCCTGACATAACACTTCAATTCTACTCAGGCGAAGGTTCTGACTGGTCTTTATAGAACACCTGGGTACAAACAAATCTCCAGATTTTGTAAACAACACCCTGAATCTATCAAGAACTTTACCCACTTTCCTGTACCGCTACCTAAAAATACGGTACTTTGTAGAAACTACGAGATAGTGCTTCATGTTGCTGCTAAACGGAAAGTTTACAAGCTTTTTAGGGTAAGACTTTTCGCAACATATGTCAAAGAGCCAAACACCACAATTTACAGAAGTTAGCTATCCTAGCACCTAACTAGACACATCAATATTAATTAATGAATTATAATATTAGTCTAGTACAGAAGTCACCTCTTTTACAATTACCTCATAACTTCATAATGTTACGTCTACATCTCTGGTTCAGATAGTGGGAGGAAGGAACGGTTTAACCAGACAGTTACAGCACATATCGTGCTACGAGTACGTCCTCATGACACAGTACATAGTTCAGCTCTGTAAACATTACAATATTCCTATGGATACTCCCTTCTGGAATCATCTCTTCTTCTCCTTCTTTCGCGCGGTAAGAGCGAGGGTGTTAACCCTGTGGTAATAGTTCTAGAGTAGCTACGTGGTGAATTGTTGAGAGATAGAACTACCTTGAAACTGTTTTCTAGGATTAATTGATAGTGGTTTCAGCGTGGTAAACATCACCTTTTTGCAAATTAGTTTTGCTTAAACTGTATATAATACCACCAGGAAAGGAGAGGAACTATAAATTACTTAAACTGTTTATAATACCAGGAAAGGAGAGGAACTATAAATTACTCGGATGTTCGGGAGTTGGTGAGAACTCTGAGTTTTTATCCGCTCACCTCTGAAATGTGGTGCACTATTGTCTATCACGTGAGAGATACACATTTAGAGGGCGTCTTCCAGGACCTAATTAACGTTGTGAGTTTTGGGATTGTTTTTTTCTCGGGTTACACTTACTGTTTTAGTTTTTAAAAATTCGTCTCAACCTTGGCAGGATAAATTACCAACAAGTTTGCTAGTTTGGAGTATCTCTCTGAATTCGTTAAATCTGTTTCATTTAAAACACTTTGTTGTTGAAAATTTAAATTCGCTGATTTATCGTTTCAGGGAATGATGGACGACAATATTTACTCTAGTCTGATGTCACGGACCCATAAAGATTCTGATCTTTATTCTCAACTATCAATGTTTAGTGATCACTACTCTCATGTTGATCCCTCACAAGAAAATAGGACTTGAATAAAAAATGATTGTATAATATGAGTTTTAGGTTTTTAAACTTTTTATAAAACATTTGTAGCTTATAAAGTTAAAATGGTAACTATTATTAGGAAGTTCGATAAAATATTGAATTCTGATGCATATTTTAAACCTTCAAGGATGATGTAGTAGCAACCTTTAGCTTTATATTAAGGTCTAGTTCTAGGTTTCAGACTTCAGAGTCTAAACTGTGGACACAGCTGTTTCAAGCTGGCATCATGTTATGCTAAAGTTGTTCCAAGACCATCTCTACATTCTCTAAACATGGTGACTCGTTAGCCTTTTCTCACAGTGACACTTGTAGCGATCATGAACTGGTTGTTGCCCAGGACCACACTCTCCACTCTCTTTATCTCGTGCAATAGAGTCGTCAATATCACCAGAACAAGAAGTGTCATCTTCGGTTGTTCACAAAAAATCAAAATATAGTTATTGAAACGTTGAATTTTACCTCAAAAGTACATTTTCCCTTTGTCGCATAATACATTCAACACTAAGTCCCCATTCATCGTAGTCCGATAGTTTCAATGCATCCTAATATACAGGAATTATCAGAAATTTTCATCCGAAACATCACAATTACAATGCGACTCATAAATGATGTTCCTCTCCGGATATTACATGATCAACTGAGAGATAAGTGAAATACTGTTCCAGTATTCCTTATCTCAACAACCTTGTTTTATCAGTAAAACCAGTTATGAAGGTGTCCCAGATTTAGTGGTTTAACCGGTTTTAGTGGCTTATCATGCACCAAAATGATATCGGTATCGTTTTACTGCATTCCCGTAAAACCGGTTTTGAGTCAGTACATACTCTCTATTTTCAGTACATACGACATACGGTGCATGCTCTAAGTGTGTTTATCGAAAGACGGCAAAAGTTGGCTAGTTGGCGCTAGTTATCGGACATTTTTAGTCTGCCCTAGCTAGTGTTAAATATCGCTAAATAGCGCTAACGAGCGCTAAATCAGCGCTAGTAATCGCTAGTTATTGCGTTTAGACTATCGCAAAAGAACCAATGAATCGCTCTGAATTAAGTAATTATTAGTATCTACTGTTTTACCCAGTTCACAATTTATTTTTAGTTGTAACCAAGTTGAAAGATTGCGTAATTGTATAATTTGCAGTGTTGGAGAGCAGCCAGTAGTTCTTTAAACAGATTAAAACTGGTATTTGGTACTTGGTAGGGGCTTAGGGGTGTTAGTGAGCCTCTTAAAGTACTGAAAATCCCCCTCCCTCCCCCCTAAATTAGGGTGAACCCCCTCCCCCTCTTAAATCAGGGTGAACCCCCTCCCCCTCTTAAATCAGGGTGAACCCCCTCCCCCTCTTAAATCAGGGTGAACCCCCTCCCCCTCTTAAATCAGGGTGAACCCCCTCCCCCTCTTAAATCAAGGTGAAACCCCCTCCCCCCTCTTAAATCAGAGTGAACCCCCTCCCCCTTCTTAAATCAGGGTGAACCCCTCATCCCTCTTAAATCAGGGTGAACCCCCCCCCCCCTCCCCCCTCTTGAATCAGGGTGAACCCCCCCCCCCTCTCCCCTCTTAAAATACCTGATAACTATTAGAGCCTTTTATCTTTTTATACCCGATATTGTTACAAATTGTGAGCTATTATTATAGGAGGTTGATAATAAGGATTTAGTAAGCATGTGATGGAACTATTTGCATGGTGATCCTGTTGATAATATCATTTCCTATAGCTCTATAGTAAGCTTTTTATTATTTAATTACTTTTTTGTTTTTAAGTGTTTGTTAACCACGTTGGTACATGAATTAATCCGATTGTTTTTATAAGTTGACGAAAGTTATTTATGTTCACTGAACTTTTTGATAATCTGACAGAATCTGGTCCTTGCTATACACTAGACTTACTACTAAAAATGGTATAATACAACTATAAAATCAATTTTATAGACCGTCAAAAAATCTAAATTAGGTCACGCACATAATATGACTTACATGAATTTATATTAATTACGTAATCATCATAATATTGCAAAAAATGCACTCTGACTTCTGATCGGTAGTACGTGACAAGAGTCGCACTCGGAGTATTTTATCGAGGTTTGCAGCAAGCTTGGTACGTGTTAATATTATCAGAGAATAAAAATAATTGATTTAAAACCATGCTCAGAACCCTGTGCTCTTCCGGGACAGTTATACCCTGTTTTATCACAGTTAGACCCTGTTTACTTACCCGTTAAACTGGTTATGCCAATTATGTATGAAAAACCAGAATATCCGGTTTTATGGGTCTATCATTATCATGCAGGGGGCCAGGGAGGGGAGGTTTCATCCGCCATTAAATCAGTTCTCGTTAAACCGGTGTTTGGTTGAAGAAGTTCCGTGGATCTTCTAAAAGAGTAAAAGTGCCTTTTATCATTTATGACGTATTGTAATTAGATACTAGAGGCTAGATTCACAAGAACCGCATTTATACTTCTTAGATAACAAGGAATTTATGATGAAAATATGTTTCCGCATTTCTTGGTGATAACTAGCTGTTGGTAATAACTGTTACTAAATTTGTAGATTACTAGATAAGCGGCAGAAACAGAAACAATTATTATTTATTAATTTATTTTTATTTATAAGTCTTAATAACTTAAATTTATAAAGGTGATATTTGACAGTGTCACTGTAGAGCTGTAGATGGCCTGATGCTATGATTTAAACAAAAAAAAAACATCATAGGATGACGTTAAAGAAAGGAATTTACAACCAGAAGAGCATGGCCAATGTCAAGTGGCGCTATGTTCCTCTTACTAAGAGTAACGGCCCCACACCTAGGCCCAGGTATGTCATTATGTATGTCATTATGTATGTCATTATGTATGGCATTATGTATGTCATTATGTATGTCATTATGTATGGCATTATGTATGGCATTATGCATGTCAGTACCAATTACAGTAAAACCCCGATTTACAGTGGAGTTTGCGGTAAATCGGGGTTTTGTTTGTTTACATTATGCATGTTAAGCCATATTTGGGGAAAAGGAGATGGCCGCGGTAAATCGGGGTTTTACTGTAGTTGGGTTTTAGATAATTGTCAAAAATATTTTGTTGAAATTCCCTCAAAACAAGAACAACTTTTAAGTAGGGAATCACGTGAGTAAAAGGTAACAATTGGACAGGCACGGTCACAGAGCAGTGGCAATAGATAACAAGATAATCGTGATGGGAGGAGGAAACGAGGGTATAGTTGATGAGCTGCACGTCTACAACACGAGTTAGTTACTTTTGTTCAAAATTAGTTAGTCGTGATTTGGTGGTCTAGTGGCAGTGACCATAACTGGTAATCGAACGACTGCTGGTTCGAGCCTGGCATAAACGTCTATATTAAATTTAAGTTTTGTATGTAAAGCAGGATTGGCACTTATTTGACAATATTTGACAATATTTGTCCTCACTCAACTTTGAAACTGATTTAATTATCTATTATTCTATTTTTACCTAAACACATTTTCCTGCCAGAAGCTAACGAGTGGTCAGAACCTCACGTATCAGGTCAGGTTCCTGAGAACGGGGTGGCAGCATTCGGTATAGCTGCTCACGGTCACAACATCTACATTCACGGGGGTATGATGGAGTACTGCGAGTACAGTAATGAAATGTTCATGTTGAACACACATACGTGGGAGTGGACTCACATTAATATCACTAATAAGGATACTGTAAGTTAACATTAATAATGTTGACAAGTAGCTTTATCAATAAGAATAATAATAAAGATACCGTAAGTTTAGTAATAATGCTAATAAAAACAACTTTAGTTTGTTATTGTGGGTTTTATCAGACATTGGCCGTGATAAGGAATTGGTGCCAGATTGTAAACCTATGAATATACTTTCTCCCTTGATCAACAAACATTAACAAATCTAAAATTCTGGTTAACTCAATTAACATGACAATTACCAGGTATGTCCGAGGTTGGGGCACAGTTTTACTCTGGTAGGAACCACAATGTACACATTTGGAGGTCTAGGCTGCGAGGTGGACGATCAGAACCAGTTTATACCACGTTATCTGAACGATATTTACACTATAGATATATCTCATAACGAGGAGGGGTCTGGTCCTACCTGGTCACATGAGGATCCTGCTGGAGATGTTAGTTATTTAATTGTTATTTAATTGTTATTTGATTGTTAATTTATTAATTATATCAATTAATGTTAGTTATTTACTTTTTAATTTATTTATTATATTAGATGTTAGTTATTTAATCGTTAATTAATTGTTAATTAATTTTTAATTAGTTAATTAATTGTTAAATATTTGTTAATTATTTGTTAATTCGTTAAGGACTGATATACAGTTCTCAGTAAGAGTGTAAATCTTAAAACTGCTTGCTTTTTCGTTCCAAAGTTGCCGGTTAGAACGATTTAAATTCTACGTTTCCATTCCAGGCACCTTGTCCACGGGAATCTCACACGTGTGTGTGCACTAAAGACGCTAACGAGAAGTCAGGAGCTCTGTACATATTTGGGGGTATGAGCAGTAAAGCAGAGCGGATGGGGGACCTCTGGAGGCTGGACCTAGCTAAGATGATCTGGATACCAGTCATTGCTATTGGGCTGCCTCCCTTGCCAAGGAGCTTGCATACTGCTAATGTTATCGGCAACAAGTAATATATATTTAGAGGTCATGTTACATATGTTAAGTTATTTCTGCGTTAGTGCTTATCTTGAAAGTTTGTGGACCATGGCGGATTGCCATGGTATGTACCTTTAGAAATATTAAAGAGCACGTGTCATGATATCAACTAAATATCTTATGATTTCAGAATGTACATCTTTGGAGGATGGGTAGCAATAAACCAGAAGTCGAAGAACAAGACCGTGTTTTTACCAGAGAAAGAGTACAAGTGTACTAATAGTACCGCCTGCTTTAACATGGGTGCGTTTAGTTGTCCATTACTTTGATCTAGGTACTTTGATAGTTTTTTATGTTTACCATCACGAAGATTTGTTGACACTATTAGCAGATGTAAACACTACATGGCTGATATAATATCAAGTACCTTGGTTTCAGTTAACACACACATTATTATGATATCACATTATATTCAGATACTATCACGTGGGAGCCGGTGTACACTGAGGGGTTCGAGGACGCTCTACCGAGGTCACGTGCTGGTCACGCGTCTGCTGTGGTTAACAGTAGACTGTATATCATCAGTGGGAGAGATGGGTACCACAGGGCTTATAATAACCAGGTTATTATATATTACTCGTTGGTGGAGCCAATTTTTTTGTGGAAACAAACTTACTATTATAGCTGTTACTAGTTACTACGTTTTCCAAAATTCATTTATTTGTTCCTTGATTTTCTCTCTAAAAACAATCAGTGAATAGTTATTAATAATTCAGACGTGTTTTAAAGACATGTGGTTCCTGGAGACAGACAAGCCTCCAATACCAAACCGTGTACAGTTGATCAGAGCAAGCACATCAACTCTGGAGATATGCTGGATTCCTGTTGTTACTGGTTTGTTCCATCGTTTCTAGCTGATTAAGTGGGAGTTTACAGTTCTTGCTTTCTGGGACGGATTTCGGGAAAATATAATGTGTTTGATCAGAAATCCTTGCGGTTCTTAAAAAAATATAATTCATTACAACCATAATAAATCTAACTACAGTATTATTTTATCATCTAATATTGAGAAGATTTTGCAACATAACCCTCACAGCGGATGCTTATTTGCTACAAATACAAAGACTTGACAACTCTGATGTAAACGAGTGGTACGATGTGGCGGTGGTTAAAGGAAATAGTCTAGTTGTTTCCCACCACCATTCCAAACCATCTTCCGAAGAGGTTACTAGTTCATACTGCTTACAATATCTGTTTAGTTGTGATTCATTATAGCTGATGTTATCAAGATTAGAAATTGGGTTTTCTCTTTGTTCTTTACAGTCAGATCTACTTCATGCACATTTTGATATTATGTAACCCAATATGGTTGAATACTTTGTTCACATTTTGTCTCTACACGGCACCTTTACTTTCCAGGTTGATGAAAACAAGCCTATAGAGCGACTAGAACTATCTCCTGGTACAACCTACAGGTTCAGGATCGCAGCAATAAACGCGTGTGGGAGAGGGGAGTTTTCAGAGCCAGCTGCATTTAAAACTTGTGTTCCTGGCTTCCCTGGGGCTCCCTCTTCTATTAGAATCAGCAAGGTTTGTTATTGCTGTAGAATATCGGATATCATGGGACGTGTCCCGAGACTTCAGGTCTTTGAGGCTTAAATGTCACTGTTTACTGTTCCCACATTGTGGGCCGTGTAGTCACATTGTGAACTTTGTGTTTTTGTAGGGCGCGGACACTCGAATATAATAAAAGTCGATTTGTTTTCCCGCTGGCGTATTCGCGCGTTTGTGCGCGTAAATACTATTTCACTGGCATCCTCTTACGTCTGTACTGAAGACGTACTGAAAAGCTTGCGAAAGTTTTTTTCTCGTGCAAATTCCTCTTTTACATGAACTTTTTAAATCACTTAAGTGAAATCTGTAAAGTTGTATTTCATTCGTGCGCCGAGATATCCAGTGAAAACTATTAGAACCTGTGACGTCACTCTAGTCGGTTGCTCCGATCCGCGCACATCGACTAATGCTGTTAAACTAATACTAGTTTATCAGAACACCACATGCAACTTAAGACTTAATATGATAATGTTAGTAACTCAATAACAATTCGACTTTACTGTCAGGGTAATGATGGCGCACACCTGGCTTGGGACCCACCAGCCAACTCCAATGGTAACATCTCAGAGTATTCAGTGTATCTCGCTATAAAGAACTCCCAGTCCACAGAGAGCCCCAGTTCCCTGGCTTTTGTTCTCGTTTACAGAGGTTGGAATGTGCTTTTTGTTTACGAGTTTACTTCTTTCTCCATTGTTTTTTTGTTTTTTATCCGTATGTTGTTTATGTAACAACGTCCAGATTTCCTTTCTGTGATCTGAAATATCGTGTACTGCTGCAAAGTGCCAAATACCTACGTGAACCAAACCAAAATGAGTATAAATCTATGATAACCGGATAATAGTGACATTTCAACTAACACAGGTGACAGTCCTAGTTGTACAGTGAAGACCACCAGTCTGCAAAACGCCCACGTCGACCAAACAAACAAGCCGGCCATTATTTTCCGAATAGCTGCCAAGAACGAGAAAGGCTACGGACCAGCTACCCAAGTGAGGTGGTTGCAGGACACTAAGACTAGCTCTAATAAACGTCCTGTTGATAAGATGAGTTGAGGAGGCTGACAAGGGTAGACTCTGGCTTATTGGTTAATGTTTTATGAACTGCACGATTTCTTAAACTTATTCGTTCGTTGAAGACTGAATTTCATATGCCTAGATATTCAGAATAGCATTTGGGTTACTTACTTGACATTTCAGAGCCCTCTAAATGACTATATTTATACCGAACTCCGAGCGTGTTAATATCCCAAATAGACTCAAATTAAACCCGTTTAATACCTGTTTGATAACTGAAATTTAGAAGATCTTATATCCAGACTAATTTCAGTAATGTTCTATTTGTTAAATGACTGTTAACACTTTACATTTACAATAACTGTTATTCTTTCTACTGGAGCTATTTTGCAGGGCATCATTTTAGTGTCTGTATTTATTTTCACTTCTAATTTAAATATATTCGTTATTTCTTCAATTCATACAGTTGTTTTCTTGCTCCAATGTTGTTTATTAAGGTGTCCCCTGCTCCAATCGGGAATCACAAGAAGAAACATAATTAATCGGATATCGTAATGAGTACCTAGCAGTGCTTGTAGTCAATAAAGAAACCGCGGTTATTGTAATGAAAATGAGTATATGGCAACAAATTTTAAACATCAGTATGATAACATTATTATAATGAAAACACTACATATCAGCTTACAAGATGGCGTCAATAATCAGCAGTGTGACAGGGTACTTTAAGAGCCCTGAAAGTCCTCAACTCTGTGGTCAGCTCAAAAATACTTTCTGCTACTTATCTATCAGGGACCGGCACCCTATCTCTATCACCAAGGTACTGATTAGTCACGTGCAAATTTGCAAATTATGTTTGAATGGAGTTTCTAGCATGTTCGCAAACACGAGTATAATCAATTCAATGTTGATCGGGTGTGACCTTTCAAAATCTAATTTTTGTATTTTGGCGACCGTCACAAACATGGCTATGTTAAAAGAATGCAAATACTGTATTCCCAACCATTTGTATTCTTGACGACAACGATATTTAATCCCAGTTTTTCGAAAAAATTTTTGTTTTCTTGACCGACTTTTCAGATATTAGACCAGACATTCAAGATGGGGTGCAGTAACTCGTCTCTGGAACAGGACACTAAATGTGTGGCAGCCAAACTTTCTCGGCTCAAAAGCAGATTGCAAACTGATAAGGTATAGTCTATCTATAATAAGTTTAATGTCTCCCATTTTTACGCAGATATTAAATAATCAGGGGATTCGTCAATCTGTTTATCAGCGTTTTAAGTTTGCAGTCTTTTTGACTGCAATCACATACTGCTATTTACTCTTTTGAGCAGGAGTTGGAGTTATTAGAAGGAGAGGGAGAGGATGTGGATATTTGGAATAACGCAGTGAAGCAGCTTCCTTCTGATAGTAACACTTGGTTAGTTTTAGTTAGGTCACCTGTTTACAAGTTAATAGTTGCTGGATACTAGCTTTCTTTATTACTTGAGCAGCAGACTCAATAAGATTCTATAGTCATTGATGCTACATAATCTCGTTTATATTAGAGATAGCTTTAATTATCCTGTGGCTACATTCATTATTTGATGATCACACATTTTGTGAACATCATTAATCATAACTTGACCATGGGATGACATCGGCAATCGTGGTTTTATGATTAACTTACACATGATTTATTGCATGATAACCTTATAAACATTAGATAGGCTACTTCTCTTGCAAACTAGCTTCAAACGTTACAAATCTCTCCTGATATAACAAAACAAATATACCGAATGAAACATTAAATAGTTACCTTCCTGTATCAGAAAACAGACAAAGTTACGTCTTCAATTTCATAGGTAGGTGGTGTGTCCCTTAAAATACAGTGCTATTAACAGAACCCTATTGATTTCAGGTTTACCGCTCCATGGTTGTTTGTGGAATGTTACATGTACAGAGTTATACACCAGGCATTCCAGGATACTGTCTCACTCACTTACCCTCACTACGATACTTTTAGAGAGGAGAAATGTAAAGGTAAAGAGGTAAACTTTTAAAGAGGTTAACTTTTAAAGAGGTAAACTTTTAAAGAGGTAAACTTTTAAAGAGGTTAACTTTTAAAGAGGTAAACTTTTAAAGAGGTAAATTTTTAAAGAGGTAAACTTTTAAAGAGGTCAACTTTTAAAGAGGTCAACTGTTAAAGAGGTAAACTTTTAAAGAGGTAAACTTTTAAAGAGGTAAACTTTTAAAGAGGTAAACTTTTAAAGAGGTAAACTTTTAAAGAGGTAAACTTTTAAAGAGGTAAATTTTTAAAGATATTAACTTTTAAAGAGGTAAACTTTTAAAGAGGTAAACTTTTAAAGAGGTAAACTTTAAGATTACGTCCCGAACAAGCTGCAATCAGGACTATATATTATCAAGACTACATATTAATATAATGATGAATTATCAAGTGATACCCACTGAGTACTCCCCAGGACTAGAAGACTCTCTATCCAACATGAGCAAGATAGCCACCCTCCTTCTCAACCAATCTACTGATGCACCTGCTGCCAAGTTCCTAGCAGATTTTATCAAACTGTCCCTGTGGGGCAATAGAGCCGATCTCTCTATACTCAAGCACTTTGATCTGGATCTGGCTGATGTGAACGACTCTACTAAGGGGGCGGAGGATGGTGATGATATGATACTTTGTGATCATCTTGATAAAGTTGTGGGGCAATTGCTGGGGCTCAAAGGTGGAAAGGTGAGAAACAACCCTGAGTTTTAAACCTCATGACTTGTTTCACCATTTCAATAGATATCTTCACAAATTTATTGTCCTTTATACGAAGCTACCTCATTATTTCAATATTAAATAGTAATAATATATTACACACAGGTGGATATAATATTAGATAACAGTGGGTACGAGCTATTTGGAGACATGTGTCTAGCAGAAGTGCTACTGCGAACTACACAAGTATCCTCTGTTACCTTCCATATGAAGAGTATACCCTGGTTTGGGAGTGATGTTACTGAGGGTGATATGAAGTTCATGTTGGACTCCCTCAAAGGTTAGACTAGGGTATTCTGGTAATTGAGTGATACACTTTACATTAAGGACCCTCTTTTATTCCTTATCCCACATAAAACCTCTAATTCAACTGATTTTTTTATAAGCCCCGTACGGTAATGATTACTGATTATTTGTTTACAAATGATTATAAAACTTTTACTTTTCAGAGAGTAACGACACGTCACTTACCAAGCTAGGTAACCTCTGGGAAACAAGGTTTGCTGAAAACAAGTTTATTACGACTGAGCACGTGTTTTGGAACTCACCGTACGGTTTCAGCCAGATGAAGACAGTCTCTCCGGATCTGTATTCAGATCTCACTAAAGCAGAGTTTCTGTTCTTCAAAGGAGATTTGAACTACAGGAAGCTAGTAAATGACAGAATGTGGCCCTATGATACGAGCTTCACTACAGCTCTAGAGGGATTTAACCCTGCTAAATTGTGTGCTCTCCGGACTATAAAAAGTGATTCTATTGTTAACTGTGATTCCAGTAGGGTAGAGAAAATAGTGGAGGAGGACAAGGTTAAAGATAAACTCTTCTGTGGGGCATATGCTTTGATCTCCTCTAATATTGCGTGATTTGATCTCCTCTAATATTGCGTGATTTTATCTCCTCTAATATTGCGTGATTTTATCACCTGCAACATTGCGTGATTTTATCGCTGTTTCTTTTACGGTTTTGCGCCTTCATCTCATTTTGGTTGCATTTTTTATTTCAAATACATTTTATAATATTGTTGCGAACTTTCGAATTTGAAATTAATTGTTCCTGAAATCTTTATTTTCCCATTTAAAAAAATTTAAAATATCTAGATCCTCTAAACTAATGAGTATTGGTTGCTGTATTAAGTTACTTGATACATTCACCATTGTATTTGTAAATTGTTTTTGTTGAATACGGATAATATGCTACTTTCTGTACTGTTGTGTTAACATAAAGTTGTTATTGATGAGTTACCCAATCTTGTTTCGCATCCAAATTTGTGTCGATCCTGACTCTTTTTTATATCAGATTTTAATGATCCATGGTATTTTATAATGTGACATCATTGCTCTACTTATGATTAAATCAAACCGGAAACCCCTTTGTAAGTTCTAACCGAGAATTCGAATCAAAATTTAGCTGCTGTATAATACTGTAATAGAGTCAACTTGAGTCTCAACTCATCCCTCATGACAGAGACTTCAGACACTAAAAGGTTTGAAGTTAAACACATATTAGTAAACTCTTGCGCGCGCTTTTAGATTATATAATGTAATGTTTCATATATTGATACGGGTGTATAGCTCAGTGGTAGAGCAATCGACTGCAGATCGATAGGTCCATGGTTCAACTCCGTGTGCGCCCTATGTTTTTGCAAATCTCATTTTATATTATCAGTTTTTAAAGTTTAACATCTCTATTTATCAGGTTACGAGCAGCAGTTCATTACGGTGTAAAAGAGGCCTGTCAAAGCTCCGCTATTCCATTTTCTAAAGAGTGTGTGGCTCTTATCACAGAGATGACTCTTAGACAGACCGAAATGATGGCTCACGACTTAGAGTCCTTTTCTCAGCATGCCAAAAGGTGTGTAGTATACTTATTGCTTCACATCACGTACACCAGATTTTTACCAAATACACATTATACATTGCATTCTACCCATAACCAACACTAGAAGGGTTGACAGTGATTGCAGATCTGTGCCAAGTACATGCTCCTTGATAAATCCTCCTAATGCACTCTAATATTGGCACTGTTCCAAAGCGGCACTTACCCCGGACAAGTCATTTTAAGTGGTGTATTTGACATGTAAATTAACCGTGTTAATTAACTGGTAATGTTGCAGGAGTACAGTTACCGGAGATGATGTTATGTTATGCGCCAGAAGGAACCCCTCCATGCAGGACTCTCTGCGGGAGAAACAAGAGTCACTACCTGGTCATAGCAAACGCAAATCTAAGCAGAAACCTGGCTGAATTCACCTCTAGGAAAACTACAGGTAAATACATGGTAATAACCATCACTCATACCTTAGACCCATCCTAGAGGAGGGTGGTAATAACCAATGGAAGGAAGTACCAGTACTGGAGGTATGTGGTTCTAGTGCGGTATACTTTATATAATATGTGGCATTGTGGGTCGCCTGGTGTCTTAGTTCCGACCTAGTAGGAGTAGTACGTTATGACACGTGACAGCCATTATTTAAGACTTTAACTAAACGGTACATGATACGCGAGTACTGGGTACGTTCTATCGAGTATGTACAATCCCTACATTTTGCATAGTACAATCCTGGGTATGTCCTGATTATTCAGGGTCAATCTGCTTGCAGGAGCGATAAAAATATGTCAAACTAAATAATGTCAGCCACAACAGCAGCTATCTTTTGTTGAAAGTAGTGGATAATCTGTGCTATATTTCTGAGAGTAGTGGGTAATCTGTGCTATATTTCTGAGAGTAGTGGGTAATCTGTGCTATATTTCTGAGAATAGTGGGTAATCTGTGCTATATTTCTGAGAGTAATGGGTAATCTGTGCTATATTTCTGAGAGTAGTGGGTAATCTGTGCTATATTTCTGAGAGTAGTGGGTAATCTGTGCTATATTTCTGAGAGTAGTGGGTAATCTGTGCTATATTTCTGAGAGTAGTGGGTAATCTGTGCTATATTTCTGAGAGTAGTGGGTAATCTGTGCTATATTTCTGAGAGTAGTGGGTAATCTGTGCTATATTTCTGAGAGTAGTGGATAATCTGTGCTATATTTCTGAGAGTAGTGGGTAATCTGTGCTATATTTCTGAGAGTAGTGGGTAATCTGTGCTATATTTCTGAGAATAGTGGGTAATCTGTGCTATATTTCTGAGAGTAGTGGGTAATCTGTGCTATATTTCTGAGAGTAGTGGGTAATCTGTGCTATATTTCTGAGAGTATTGGGTAATCTGTGCTATATTTCTGAGAGTAGTGGGTAATCTGTGCTATATTTCTGAGAGTAGTGGGTAATCTGTGCTATATTTCTGAGAGTAGTGGGTAATCTGTGCTATATTTCTGAGAGTAGTGGGTAATCTGTGCTATATTTCTGAGAGTAATGGGTAATCTGTGCTATATTTCTGAGAGTAGTGGGTAATCTGTGCTATATTTCTGAGAGTAGTGGGTAATCTGTGCTATATTTCTGAGAGTAGTGGGTAATCTGTGCTATATTTCTGAGGGTAGTGGGTAATCTGTGCTATATTTCTGAGAGTAGTGGGTAATCTGTGCTATATTTCTGAGAGTAGTGGGTAATCTGTGCTATATTTCTGAGGGTAATGGGTAATCTGTGCTATATTTCTGAGAGTAGTGGGTTATCTGTGCTATATTTCTGAGAGTAGTGGGTAATCTGTGCTATATTTCTGAGAGTAGTGGGTAATCTGTGCTATATTTCTGAGAGTAATGGGTAATCTGTGCTATATTTCTGAGAGTAGTGGGTAATCTGTGCTATATTTCTGAGAGTATTGGGTAATCTGTGCTATATTTCTGAGAGTAATGGGTAATCTGTGCTATATTTCTGAGAGTAGTGGGTAATCTGTGCTATATTTCTGAGAGTAGTGGGTAATCTGTGCTATATTTCTGAGAGTAGTGGGTAATCTGTGCTATATTTCTGAGAGTAGTGGGTAATCTGTGCTATATTTCTGAGAGTAGTGGGTAATCCGTGCTATATTTCTGAGAGTAGTGGGTAATCTGTGCTATATTTCTGAGAGTAGTGGGTAATCTGTGCTATATTTCTGAGAGTAATAGGTAATCTGTGCTATATTTCTGAGAGTAGTGGGTAATCTGTGCTATATTTCTGAGAGTAGTGGGTAATCCGTGCTATATTTCTGAGAGTAGTGGGTAATCTGTGCTATATTTCTGAGAGTAGTGGGTAATCTGTGCTATATTTCTGAGAGTAGTGGGTAATCTGTGCTATATTTCTGAGAGTAGTGGGTAATCTGTGCTATATTTCTGAGAGTAGTGGGTAATCTGTGCTATATTTCTGAGGGTAGTGGGTAATCTGTGCTATATTTCTGAGAGTAATAGGTAATCTGTGCTATATTTCTGAGAGTAGTGGGTAATTTGTGCTATATTTCTGAGAGTAGTGGGTAATCTGTGCTATATTTCTGAGAGTAGTGGGTAATCTGTGCTATATTTCTGAGAGTAGTGGGTAATCTGTGCTATATTTCTGAGAGTAGTGGGTAATCTGTGCTATATTTCTGAGAGTAGTGGGTAATCTGTGCTATATTTCTGAGAGTAGTGGGTAATCTGTGCTATATTTCTGAGAGTAATGGGTAATCTGTGCTATATTTCTGAGAGTAGTGGGTAATCTGTGCTATATTTCTGAGAGTAGTGGGTAATCTGTGCTATATTTCTGAGAGTAGTGGGTAATCTGTGCTATATTTCTGAGAGTAGTGGGTAATCTGTGCTATATTTCTGAGAGTAGTGGGTAATCTGTGCTATATTTCTGAGAGTAGTGGGTAATCTGTGCTATATTTCTGAGAGTAGTGGGTAATCTGTGCTATTTTTTTTTTATCTAGACACTTATTTTACTTCGGTGTATTCCAACAGCCACGATGTTACACAAGTGCAACCAGCCAATTACAGGAAGCCGAAGGATCTTTTTTGGCCAGTGACGGTTAAGGTAGTGTGTACCATACTTTCTTCGTCCGAGACTTTGCTGCAATGTGCAGCTCCTCATTTAACCCTCACACCCGATTTCTCGAGTATTCGGCTGAGTAGACCGGGGGGCTGCATAGACCACTCATGATCCTTAGCTGAACGTCGACGACGCTCACCCCACGACCAGGCAGTCAGTGGGTTTCGAACTCGCAACCTAACGATTGTAAGACAGGCGTTCTAACCAACTGCGCTACCTGGCCGTTGAAGAGAGTAGTGGGTAATCTGTGCTATATTTCTGAGAGTAGTGGGTAATCTGTGCTATATTTCTGAGAGTAGTGGGTAATCTGTGCTATATTTCTGAGAGTAGTGGGTAATCTGTGCTATATTTCTGAGAGAAGTGGGTAATCTGTGCTATATTTCTGAGAATAGTGGGTAATCTGTGCTATATTTCTGAGAGTAGTGGGTAATCTGTGCTATATTTCTGAGAGTAGTGGGTAATCTGTGCTATATTTCTGAGGGTAGTGGGTAATCTGTGCTATATTTCTGAGAGTTGTGGGTAATCTGTGCTATATTTCTGAGAGTAGTGGGTAATCTGTGCTATATTTCTGAGAGTAGTGGGTAATCTGTGCTATATTTCTGAGAGTAGTGGGTAATCTGTGCTATATTTCTGAGAGTAGTGGGTAATCTGTGCTATATTTCTGAGAGTAGTGGGTAATCTGTGCTATATTTCTGAGAGTAGTGGGTAATCTGTGCTATATTTCTGAGAGTAGTGGGTAATCTGTGCTATATTTCTGAGAGTAGTGGGTAATCTGTGCTATATTTCTGAGAGTAATAGGTAATCTGTGCTATATTTCTGAGAGTAGTGGGTAATCTGTGCTATATTTCTGAGAGTAGTGGGTAATCTGTGCTATATTTCTGAGAGTAATGGGTAATCTGTGCTATATTTCTGAGAGTAGTGGGTAATCTGTGCTATATTTCTGAGAGTAGTGGGTAATCTGTGCTATATTTCTGAGAGTAGTGGGTAATCTGTGCTATATTTCTGAGAGTAGTGGGTAATCTGTGCTATATTTCTGAGAGTAATGGGTAATCTGTGCTATATTTCTGAGAGTAGTGGGTAATCTGTGCAATATTTCTGAGAGTAATGGGTTATCTGTGCTATATTTCTGAGAGTAGTGGGTAATCTGTGCTATATTTCTGAGAGTAGTGGGTAATCTGTGCTATATTTCTGAGAGTAGTGGGTAATCTGTGCTATATTTCTGAGAGTAGTGGGTAATCTGTGCTATATTTCTGAGAGTAGTGGGTAATCTGTGCTATATTTCTGAGAGTAGTGGGTAATCTGTGCTATATTTCTGAGAGTAGTGGGTAATCTGTGCTATTTTTTTTTTATCTAGACACTTATTTTACTTCGGTGTATTCCAACAGCCACGATGTTACACAAGTGCAACCAGCCAATTACAGGAAGCCGAAGGATCTTTTTTGGCCAGTGACGGTTAAGGTAGTGTGTACCATACTTTCTTCGTCCGAGACTTTGCTGCAATGTGCAGCTCCTCATTTAACCCTCACACCCGATTTCTCGAGTATTCGGCTGAGTAGACCGGGGGGCTGCATAGACCACTCATGATCCTTAGCTGAACGTCGACGACGCTCACCCCACGACCAGGCAGTCAGTGGGTTTCGAACTCGCAACCTAACGATTGTAAGACAGGCGTTCTAACCAACTGCGCTACCTGGCCGTTGAAGAGAGTAGTGGGTAATCTGTGCTATATTTCTGAGAGTAGTGGGTAATCTGTGCTATATTTCTGAGAGTAGTGGGTAATCTGTGCTATATTTCTGAGAGTAGTGGGTAATCTGTGCTATATTTCTGAGAGAAGTGGGTAATCTGTGCTATATTTCTGAGAATAGTGGGTAATCTGTGCTATATTTCTGAGAGTAGTGGGTAATCTGTGCTATATTTCTGAGAGTAGTGGGTAATCTGTGCTATATTTCTGAGGGTAGTGGGTAATCTGTGCTATATTTCTGAGAGTTGTGGGTAATCTGTGCTATATTTCTGAGAGTAGTGGGTAATCTGTGCTATATTTCTGAGAGTAGTGGGTAATCTGTGCTATATTTCTGAGAGTAGTGGGTAATCTGTGCTATATTTCTGAGAGTAGTGGGTAATCTGTGCTATATTTCTGAGAGTAGTGGGTAATCTGTGCTATATTTCTGAGAGTAGTGGGTAATCTGTGCTATATTTCTGAGAGTAGTGGGTAATCTGTGCTATATTTCTGAGAGTAGTGGGTAATCTGTGCTATATTTCTGAGAGTAATAGGTAATCTGTGCTATATTTCTGAGAGTAGTGGGTAATCTGTGCTATATTTCTGAGAGTAGTGGGTAATCTG